AACAAGCCATAAAGGAATGTCTTGGTTCCTTTCAAAACCATAGCCATGGCAGCCCCTCCCTGGGGCCTCCTCTGCTGGGAACAGAAGGGCTGAAAGCATTTCCAGAAAAGCTGTGCTGGCTGGGAAATTCCCATTCAATCTGGTCCCAGGGTCCAAAGTCACAGCGGATGGCCTTGTTCCTTTTTTGGGGGGTGGGGGGTGGGGGGGGGCTTGCTGTCGGCACAGGCAGACAATGGCTTCTGCTTCATCTCAAAGGTCGAATCTGGACTCAGTGTAGTCGCTTTTCTCACAAAGCCCAACAATCACTCTCACTTTCCTGGACAGGCATTTCTAGCACTGAATTTTCAATTTGGAGATTTGGGGGTGTCCCCCGATACCCCACACTGGACCAGTGCACATGCCTCTGGTCCAGATAGAAAGGAAAATGATTGGCGATTGCTGAGAAGGCGAAGAGGCTTCCATTTTGACCAAGCCATTCATTGTCATCTGTTTGCCTCTGCTGGGGGGACACTTGACATTTGCACAGTTGCTCAGTTTCTTTCAAGGGTACGATGCTTCTCTTGCCTTTCAAATCCCTTCACGTGGTCAGCCTCGCTTTTATCATGTGTGGTTGGGAAGGTGAACTCCGACAAAGCCTCCAGAACATGGTCTGGGACCATATTACATGACACAGTACTTCCTTCTTCACCCCCAAACCCCACCATCTGAGGACCCGCAGAAAGAAGTGATTTAGGGGTGAGCACACGTACTAAATGTCACATCCAGCGACAAGAGTGCTTCACAGGGGGTCAGGAGATGGAGCCTCAATTCCTCACAAGTTAGCTCAGTCAGAAAGACGGCTGTCTCCCTGGGCACCTGGGGCCCGGAAGGGCGGCTGAAAGAGCCTGGAGGCCTCGGTCTCCCAGCACAGGACGGAGCGGCCGTCCCTGGCTGTGCCTGGCCTGGCGACAGACTCACAGGGTTTTCCCCACACGTCTGCCATGTCCTCCCCTCCCTGCACCCCAAAGCACCACAGGCACAAGGAGGTGCCCATCTGCCCAGCAGTCCACCAGGCCCAGAAGCTCCTCGGGGACACGCAGAGGCTCTCTGCAGCCTCAGCCAGCTTACCTGCCCTGGGAGGCCTGGGCCACACCTGGAGAAAGCAGACAGCTCTCCCCCTGCCTGCACTCGGTCACTCCTCTGTAGCCTGAGCAACCCCCACCCCCATACTTCACAGGAATCCCCAACCAAGGCACAGAACCCTCAAACCTCTATGGAAGAACGGCAAAGCACTGCACCTTACATAATACTTTTTCCACAAGCAGAACCAGGCCCACATCTTACCTCAATTTAGAATCGGGTTTTAAGTGTTTATTTATAGGCATCACAAAAGCACCACTCGTGGACGGTGGCGGAATCAGGGCTCTGGGCTCCTGTCCACCACAATTCATTAGCATTCGTTTCATGTCTGTCTTGTCTAATTTCCCAGGCAGCATTTTAAATCAACAGCAAGGTCACCACCACTTGGAACCAGCACCACTTTCCATTTTCTCCAAAGAAAAACAGGAATTTTCTCTTCCGGGCAGCAGTGCCGTCCCCCATCCTCTCAGGGGCCCCCGTCACTTGCGCTGGCTAAAGCTGGGTTGTGTCATGTTGATGGCCTGCGTCCCTGCACACACGGTTCACCTTAAAGACACACTGTGAGTGCAGGGACCTGGGGAGGGCCTGGGGGGGGGGTGTCAGCTGTCATCTCCCCAGCTGGCTCTGAGACCATCACCTGGCCAGGCACAGCCGGGAGGGCTCACTTCATCCCAGCAACCAGAATGAACACAAAGAAGCAAACACAGTTTGGACCACGCAGCTTTTCTCAGCCATGAGGGCCTGGCCGTTGCTACTCCTGCCAATCACATGTCCCTGTCTTCCTTCTACCCCTCTGGAGGCACCGAGGGCCGGGTTACTTCCCCTGTCCCTCTTGGCCATTTGTGACTAGAGAGAAACCCAAGAGCCTGCTCTTTTTCTGGAGATACACAACGGAAACTGGAATAATCTCCTAATCGTTGTCGCTCTCCAGGCTGCACAGGTCTCCCCACAAGGTTAAAACACTCCACTTTCCAAGTTGTTAGCCCATCCTCAAGTGTTTTTTGTTTGTTTGTTTGTTTGTTTTTGCAGGGGGAGGAGGGATAGGTTATCCTGTAGTCCCACTTCCCAGGGAAGTCATGACACCCAAAGTCACGGCCGCCTGGGAGATTCCGTGCAGGCTCTTTCTGTCCACAGGCTGCCGACCGGATGCCCCAGGGTCCAGTGGCCCCAGCCCCGGGAACCAGTACACAAAGAAGGGCCCTCGCCTGGGGTGCTGACTCCACAGCAGAATTGGGGCACTTCCAGTAAATAGCTCTTCAGCTGCCTGACTTCAAAAGTCACATGGTTCTGTTCTCTTATCAACACTGGTGCCGAGAACGTTGGCATTTGGTTTCAGGATTAATTAACTTTGGCACAGGATGTCACTTAAACCGCCATCGTGGGGTCTCTATTATTCTACACGCCCATTTCTGGCAACAAATTGGATCTACGATCAAACAGAGCTGTTGAAATGCCATGTTTCCAGATGCCTGGAAGGGAAACCGAAATTCTAAATATTACTTAGACTGGATGGTTCAGAAACTTGTTGCTAGCCTTTGATATTATGTCAGGGGAGGCAGTGGGAGATTCCAGATCCAGAAACGATCTGCAGGGTCTAACGGTGACCCCAGCGGCTGGGAGCGGACCCGAGAGAGGAAGCCACTTAGGCTAAGTGAAGGGGGACGGCCCCCGATAGGCCAGCCCATGACACCGGCCTGAGCCCGAGACGGTGCTGTGCTGGGGGAGTGGGTATCCGAACCAATCGTAAGGCCACACTCACAGTTTCACTCCCAGACCTGGAAGCTGTCCTGGGAGTAAGGAGGGGACAAAGGTGGACGTGTCCAGGGCAGAGGCCGGGGTGCCTGCACGGCAGAATCACCACCCGCTGTCGTAACGGCACGGCCTCCTCCAGCTGACGAGGGCTACAGCCGAATTTCCTTAAGCTAATGTACGAGCCTGTGCTTTGTAAGGGGCTGGGGCTGGGCACACAGGCTTGGATACCCGGGATGTTACGGATGGGGATAGAACAAGCAGCACCTACTGAGCAATAACCCAGACTCAACGACACACTCGCTGATGTAAGACCCTGGCCACACCAAGCAGAGGCCCAAGGATGGTGCATGGTCCGTGGCCAGAGGGATGGCAGAAGGTCAGGGGCATCGGAGGACACCAGAGGCAGCTCAGCTATGGCTCTTCCCGGGACCAGCCTAGTGGCTGCAGCCCGCACCAAAGTCTGATATTCATGGGACTGTCAGCACGGATGCATGAAGGAAAGCTTGGAATGTGGCTTCACGCTCGTGTGGCCTCCGTGGGCCAGCCCAGGTGGCCACGGGGCTCATCTGTACCTCAGGAGGGGTCAGGCAGCTGGCGGGGAAGCTGCGGCACAAGGGGGCTTCCTGAAACGTGGCACTGCAGCTCGGTGAAGCCGCCCCAGGGGGGCGCAGCAAATTGGCCCAGGGTCCCACAGGTGTGGCTGGAACCACACGATAGGATTTCGGGGGCGTGTGCGTGCTTCCAGGTTTATTATGGGGCAGGATGGGGGGTCTGCTGCTTTCTGAGAGGACACACAGGGACAGTGCTCAGTGGGGCACAGTAGGGTCATTCCAGGGGAAAGAAAGGGGGCCCCAAGGAACCACCCCAAGAACTGGCCACAGACCACTGACAATGGGGCACAGGGGCTGGGCTCAGAGAGGGGCTCCGGGTCCTAAGCGAGATGCACGGGGAGGACACAGCCCCAGGGATGATGGGAGGGGGTGTGGGGGCCATGACGGTAAAGCTGGGGATGCTTCGGCCTGAATGGACACCAATGGGCTGTTCCCACGGGAACATCTCAAATTCTGAAGAACTGAGTCCCCTGGCTGGATGCAAGGTAAAGTCCTCAAACTCTAAAAACTCTATCATGAATACCAGCATGTCTTATGTTTCTCCTTCGGGGCAAAAAGCTGAATCTTTAGAACAAAAACCTCAAACCTCATGATTCTCGTTTCTCCAAATGTTTTGGGAACAAACTGCATTTATAATTCATCTTCAAAGATCTCACAGTTTCAAACACAATGACTGTGGTAGAGAAGCTGCCTCCTGAACACGCTGTTTAAAATAATTAAGAATAATGTAGAATATTGCATGTTAACTGTAATTGAAAAATAAATTTTAAAGCATGATGAAGAACAACATGCAAATTGCTACTGTTAAAATGGTCAAAAATATCCATTCTTGGAATTTTATTTTTCAAAGCCTGGAGGTGACGGGCCAGAGAGAACGTGTAATCTTTTGCCACCAGATTCCTCGGTTTGGCACGGTCCTTATTTCCTGTCCCAGATGTGAATCCAGAGGCTTGTCGTACATGATTAGCTTACTGAGTGGGGACCCTTCTTGCAATGTGACTCTGTGTGTCCTCCCAGGGGGCCTGTGCAGCCACCTGAAGGCAGAGCTGGGGGTAGAGATGTGGAGTATTCCGACACATTTCAAAACCCAGAAATGTGCTCTAAACCCAAAGTGGCTAGAACATGCGGTGTCTCTACCTTACCTTTTCCATCTTTGGTTTTACATGAATCCCCTGAGGCCCTGCCAAACAAACCTAGGGGTCCCCCCAGCAGGGCCGAGCTACTGCTTTAATGTTGGGATTGGAACTAAAGGTGCCGGGGTCCAAAGGTGACTTAACTTTCTGCAAAACTGCCCTTGAACAGCCGACAGTTTCTGATCAGGGTGTTTACACGTCCATATCCAATGCCGTTCTCCTGTGAGTCTCCACATCAAATCAGCCTTGTGTTTGGGAGTTCTTGCCTGGCTTTGGGGGCGAGAGGACAGCGCAACCCTGCGTATGAAAAACCATAACTCAGGGATGAAAGTGGTGCCGGGAAATGCAGGGGTCTAGGGGAAAGGGGAGGTTTGCAGGGTGGGCCTGGCCAGGTCAGCTCAACCCAGGGCATGGCAGGTGGTTCAGACGAGCCCTCCTGGCCCGCCTTTGCCTGCCTCTTTCTCATTATTATTCTCTCCTAGGCCAGCTTCCATTTTTGCTGCCTTCCAATTCCCAAGGCCCCTGGAGGAAGGCTAGAATTTTGTTTCTGTTCAGGCAGCTTGGAGATGCTGCAGGCAGGGTTCTACAGGTGGCTGAGAGCCACAGAGAAGCACTGTCTGCCACTCTGACCGAGCGAGGACACAGTGCCGAGAGCCCTGGGCGAGCTGACGAAGTGTGGGCGTGGTCTGCTGTGACCACGAGGACCTAGCACCCAGGGTATTCTCAGTCCATACATGCTGAGAAGACAGGCACTGCTCACACGTGTGACCCTCTGAAGTGCCCCCCCCCCGCAGCACCAGTGTGAGGCACTGAGATCGTGTCACCCCCATTTCATAGATGCGGAAACTGAGGCACATAGAAGTCAGTAAGTAGCACGCCTAAGGCCACACAAGAAGTGCTAAAGATGAAATTTAATCCTGGCAGTTGGCCCAAGAAGCCATGCTCTTAGCTCCGACACTATGTCAGGAGGAAGAAGTAGGAAAAGACATTTATAATGCGTATGCCAAATGAAGGACTAGACTGATCCATAAGGAAATTGAAACAAGGAGCAAAAGGTATGAACCAGCAATTCGCAGAATAATACATACATTAAAAACTATATGGAAATATGTGCACATAAACACTTGAAAAGATGCTCAAACTCACTGGCAGGCAGAGAAATGCAAACAAAAACCCCCAGATAGGTACCACTTTCATGCACCAGACCGACAGAAAGTAAAAACACCAGACAATACCCAGTGCTGTCAAGAAAGAAGAGAAGGGGCGGCCGGGTGGCTCCGTGGTGAGAGCGCGAGCTCTGAGCAACAGAGTTGCAGGTTCGACTCCCGCATGGGATGGTGGGCTGCGTCCCCTGCAACTAGATTGAAAGCAGCAACTGGACTTGGAGCTGAGCTTGCGCCCTCCACAGCTAAGACTGAATAACAACAACTTGACTTGGAGCTGATGGGTCCTGGGGAAAACATACAGTTCCCCAATAAAGTTAAAAAAAAAAGAAACAAAGAAACAAGAGAAGGGGAACCCATGTGCTGCTGGGAGGCGGGGGGAAATGTTCATTATCACACCCACTTGGGAAAACAATTTGACTGCTTCTGGTAAGTTTGCAAAAGCATGTACTCTATCCCGCAGCAATTCAATGCTGGATATTCTCCAGGAGCCTGGCTCGTGGTCACATGGACAGAAACACACACACACACACGAGTATGCCTAACAGCCTTGTCTGTAGCAACAAGGAGAAGACACCATCTACACAGCCACCAACATAGAGCAGACAGACAGCTTCGTGTTTCTACAGTGAAATCCACCCAGCAGTGAAAAGGTGTGGACTACGGCTGTGTTTTCACATGGATGAAGCTCACAAACGTACCGTGAGGCAGAAAAGGTTAAGTTCCAGGAAAAAAATACAAGAGAATATCACTGAATAATGCAAAACTAAGAGACATAGGTATACGCACAGACACAAGTTATAAACACACACCAAACTCTAACAGTAGTCATCTCCATGTGGGACACAGCATAATAAATACATTAAAAAGCTATATGTAAATATGTGATGCAAGGAGGTGCAAAAGGGAGGGACTCCAGCTCTACTGGTAAGTGTGACGATTTAAAATACGTCCACAGGGGCCGGCCGAGTGGCTCAGTTGGTTAAAAGCGCAAGCTCTGAGCAACAGGGTCACTGGTTCGATTCCCACATGGGCCAGTGAGCTGTGCCCAAGCTGAGCTGCTGATGGGCGGCCGGATGGCTCAGCTGGTGAGAGCACATGCTCCTAACAGCAAGGTTTCCGGTTCAACTCCCGCATGGGATGGTGGGCTACACCCACCCGCAACTAAGATAGAACATGGCACCTTGAACTGAGCGGCGGTGAGCTGCCGACGGGCGGCAGGATGGCGACTGGACTTGGAGCTGAGCTAGCTGCGCCCTCCACAACTAAGACTGAAGGACAACTTGGCTGTGCCCCTTCCCTGATTCCCCAACACTGTTCCCCTTCCCCAATTCCCCAATTAAATCTTAAAAACATGTTCCTACATCTAGCTCACAGCCACAGAGAGGGGAGTAGAGTCCATTTTTGGAGGAGAGTATGAAACAATTTGTGGACACTTTTGTGCCAAGTGGGGACCTGGGCTGGCAACATGTGATGACTTCCTGTTTTGACAAGTTACCTGCCACCTTTGACCTCATAGGTGCTGGAACCGCAACCCACACACAAGGCTGCCTTTGGTTTGAATGATGTATTTCCTTACTGCTTTCAGTTTTAAACATAGATTAGTACAACCTGGGTCATCGCCGATGCTGGCAGGTCACTGAGGCCTCTATTCCGTGTCTGGGGACCAAGCTGGGTGTCAGCTCTGCAGGCCGTTCAGTGCTGTCACGGAGCCTGAGAAGCGAGCTTCCTCTCAGTTCACCCACAGTGTCCTTGAGAAGGTGGCGTGCTGCCTCGTTCTAGCCTCGCTTCAGCATGATGATTTGCTGTTTTGTTTTCTTTTGTTTGAGTCCATCTTTATCAAGTTATTTTCCCATTACCAGACTTTACATAAGACCAGAGGACTTTGAGGACCAAATATAAGTCCTCTGTGACCAAAGCAGAAATACACACAATCAGAATATCCCTATGAACCTGCCTTAGGAGGAAGCTGATACAAGAGAAGAGAGGGGTGAGGAAAAGAAACTGGACCCGTGGTTATAAAGTCGAGCTGCTGAATCAAGCCCTGCCTGAAACCATCAATCTAGACTGTTCAATTACACCAGAAAAAGTTTAGGTCACTGTGGCATGGGTTTTCTATTATTCATCCTAAGCATCTCCATGGATGACAAAACTGAGGCCCAGGGAGGTAATGTGACTCTCTCAGCCCAGAAAGCAACAGAATGGAAGCACTGTGTGTTCGTTGTAGTGTACAAAAACATCCTTAATACTTTACAAGCGTAGAGGCAGGGCCATAATCAAAATCTAGCAGAAATTAGATTTAACACAATCCGATCGTTTTGACTTCTCCAAAACCAACAGAACAAGCCTACATGGTCAGTGGGGATTTTACCAAATGTGTAGGCCAAATGGCCCGGTTTACAAGGAACATTTTTGCACCATCTCCTCTGTCTGACAGCAGCTGTGAGCCTGGCTCAGATTCTGGTGTTTACAGGAAATCTCCAGGCAGCATTCAGACAGATGTTATCTTCATCAACCTCAGAAACGGTTCTGGCCGTCAGTTGGCTATGCTTGTGTTGGCTTGCTGTTCTCTCTTTCTTTTTTCCTTTTTTAATGCCTGACACAGAGATCCACGGAGGATGAGCGAAACCATTTCTGACCTGCACTGCCCGTCTGTTTAGACCTGAGGATGTGAGGACCCAGAGGCAAGTGACTGGCTCAGAGTCACAGCTGGGGCCCAACGGGGGCTCTAGGTCCCTTTTCCTCCGCACTGAGCCGCCTGCCCGAGAGATGTGCCATGTGGAACACCACCTGCTCACACGGGCCTGGTGGCACGTCACAAGTCCCGGGGCCCAGGTGACCTCGGAGAAGCGGGAGCTTCGAGTTGCCCACGACCCCTGCATGCCTCCGGACAGCAGCCACCCACACCGAGAGGAGCCCCACTGGGGACACAAGCAAGGGGGCGGGGGCCTCCAGAAGAGATTTCCGCTTCATAACCGCCCAACAGGAAGAGCCCAGCAGCAGCAGCGTGGAAGGCTCCGGAAACCCACAGGAGTCACATTCCACTTGGGAAAGCTGTGCCTGTCTCCCGAGTCCACTTTGCTCTCTGTTCGTAGACCTTGCGTCTTTCCACGTGTCCAAACTTGGAGGGGGGCCCAGCTCAACTGGCCTCACCACTGCCATCCACCACCTTAGCCAGCCTCGCCCCCTCCCCAGCCTGGATGCCAGCACACCTGGCTCTCCCAGGTCACCCAGGACAGGGCTGTGCAGCACACTTCAGTGCCGTGCGTGGTTCCTCCAAACCCTGAGATGAGTGACACAGGACAAGGTGTGTTCCCCCTTCCATGTCCCACCTTCTCCCTGGTGAGGCCTCCAGGAGATGCTCACCTGTTTCTGACACGAGGAGGCCACTCGCTTTCTATCTTTCTTGGCCACAGCAGAAGGTGACACTAGCTCCTGGGCGGCAGAAACTGGTCTCCCCCGAATGAAGAGCAGACATCTTGCCACCCTGGGGAGCAAAGGCCCTGCTGAGACCTGTGCTGCCTGCACCTGAGCCGTGCCGGGGCCTCCCACACACCCTGGCTGTACAGCAGCAGCTCTGGCTCCACTGTGGCCCAGCGGCCCTCAGGTGGCACAGCTGTGGGAGCTAAGAACCTGGGGTGATGGTGGGGCGGGTGGCCACCCTGGTATACAGAGCATAGGCCGGCCCACTAGTGTTTGATGGACCAGTGGATAGACCAATGGACACAGGATCTGCTCCAGGAACTGACATTCTGAGAGGGGCTTAGGGTGGGGAGAGGGGATTATACCCAAGCTTGCCAGGTGACGACCTACAGCCACCTGATGACACAGACAGGGAGAGGGGTTTCAGGGGGATGGGAGATGAAGAAACACAAGGCTCCATCTCAGGAGAAGGGTCCCCCACAGCTTCCATGCCATGTGCCCCCACTGAAGCCACGCTGCCCTGAGAACCGCTGGCAGTCCTGCAGAGCTGAGAGGGGGCCTTGCAGCCCCTGCCCAGGTGGGTCGAAGACTATCACAGAATGCTAGAGGCACCACACACTGGCCAGGCAGGGGCCGACTGGCTCGCCACAGGACGAAGGCCCAAGGGGGATTCCATCAGACACCGTTTGCACTCAGTGTTGACAGGAGAGAGGACCAGGGCCTGCGAGGGATAAGAACTGGGGCATGGGGCAGAATGGCCAGCAAAGGAGAGGGCTGGGGAAAGGAAAACTGGGCGAAGGCAGGACCCACAGAGAAAGCGCCCTGGATGTGCGTTCTAAGCGGCGAGGGAGGTGTGAGGGGCGTGGAGGCCGGGCCTGGAATCGGTCTGGAGCCAGGCAGGAGGTGTGGCTGGGAGATACGAACACTGCACCCTGGCAGGTGCTCAGAGCTTGCTTCCTGGAAGACGAGCTGGCCATAGTTACTGCTACAACCTCAGCCACGCTGAAGCCACAGTGAGCGGAGCGGGTCAGACCCCTAGGATGTTAGGATCTTAATGTCCCCTCACCTGCCAGGCGCAGAGCCCTTTGCACTAATCAAATGCTGAGGCCCGTTAAGCAGTTCAGGCCCAAGTCTCAGCGTGTCTGGAAACATGCGATGCAGCTCCTGGAGGGAGAACCCTGTCCCCCGCCTGCTGCGTTTTGGGCTGGAGGGAGCTACTCCCTTCCAGGGGACAAACCTGCCGATGTGAAGGGACGCGAACCTCACCCGAGGATCACAAAGAGCCTCGAGGTTGATGCTGTCGCAACTCACAAGCGGCCAAAACAACTCTTTTATGCTTTAAAGGACAGTGGGAAAAACAGCCCCCCTTAGAAACATAGCACTCACGCCTCCCGTGTGAGCTCGCAATGGGGTCCCCTGAGGGTCCCATCATTAGAACACTCCAACCCTGCTCCCGGGGTGTGCCACTGCCAGGTGGGGGCAAGACACACCACAGCTGCCCTGGCCCCATGAACTGTGGGTGGCACCCCCTTCCGAACATGCACCCGTGTTTCAGAGAACTCCGGGGCTCCAAATACCGCGTCATCTAAACAAAGATGACCACAGGCGGCGTCCTGCTTTCTGAGACAATGAAGGTGAACGCCGCTTAGAACGCACATCCTGCAGTCTGGTAAGGACAAGCTGGGGGTGACACGAACAAACCAGTGACCTATCCAGATGTATAAGAGGGACCCCTTTGAATAAGAAGAAGTGGCAGACAGAGGGAGGAAAACAGACGCCACCCACCCAGCAGCCCTTCCCAGCTTGGCCTCCCACATCCTCTTGACACACATTTGTTTTGTTTTTGTTGTCCTCGTGTGTCAGCTTTGGGCAACGGGGCTCAGAGTGGCTACGTCCGGTTGGCACAGTCACACGGCACCTGAGCGTCGGAACTGGGATTTGAATGGACACCTGCCCGAGTCTACAGCCCGAGCTGCCCTTCCTGCCTCTGGACTGAAGGTGGGGCCGACAGGTAAGGGGGTGCAGTGGCCCAACAGTGGCGGGTTTGGCATCCAGTCCTTTCTGCCTGCTGTTTGGTGTTTCTGTGCTAGGGAGCGAGGTATTCTCTAGAAAGGTTGTGAGCAGGACAGGGGCTTGAAACAGGCACACATCTGGAAGGCGCCTCACTTTCCCCAATTACAGAACACTCCAGCGGGCAGATGTGCTGGACAGAGGCCACCAAGGGAGCCTGGAAGCAGCCCCCCGCACCCCGCAGCTGAGCGTGCCCTACAGTTTTTCCTCCTGAACCAGGATCTCTCACACACAGCATTCATCTCCATCACAGGACAGCAGGTGGCTGGATCCCAGCCACGGAACCAAGGAGTCCCATGTCTGCACATCCAAGGCAGGGAGTAAGGCCAGAGGACTATTCATTCGAATGGGGGCATGGGGGTGGGGGGACCTCACACACTCACAGATAAGAAGAACAACGGTGGTGTTGGAGAACGCTGACCAGTGACGTGAGGTTTCTCTCTGCATTCTGAATGGACTTTAACTATTACGGTTAGAAAGCTGCCCGCTAGTAACCCACCAGGACTAGGTGTCATGGGTGAGCATTAACAAGACCAGCCAGCCGCAGATCACATGTCTGACATAAGTCGCTCTCCAAAACAGGGCGGTGCTGAATGATCCAAAACAACCCCTGTACTTAAAGACGAAGAAAGACAGGACGAGAAAGGTCAATGATAGGCCTTGTGTACACGGATGCAAAAATCCTACATAAAACATTAGCCGAGTGAACCCAGCAATTTCTAAGCAAACACATCACAATGAAGTACGGACTTATCCCAGGAATGTTCAAGTTGGTGGAATATTAGAAAATCTATTAATGCAATCACCATATTTACAGATCACCTCGATCGATGCAGAAAAGCCATGTCATAAAATTCAATACACATTCATAACTAAAGGTGGAAAAAACTTTGCAAATGAGGACCAGAAGGGGCCCTCCTTAACAAACAATGGGCATCTGGCACGACCTATACAAGGTGTGATCAAAAGACACGATGAATGTTTAAATTTTTAAAAATTATTACAGTAAAAGACACATTGCCATTAATGCCCCTCAAAATACTCCTCCTCGCTTCGAACACACTTATCCCATCGTTCCTGCCCCTTTCTGAAGCAGTTCTGGAAGTCCTCTTTCATGAGGGTCTTTAGTTGCGTTGTCATGGCTGCCTCGATGTCCTGAATCATTTTGACTTTGGGGAAGAGCCAGAAGTCACACGGTGCCAGACCCAGTCAATAAGGTGGATGAGGACACACCATGTTTTTATTTGACAGAAACTGCCGTATACCAGAAGTGATGTGTGACAAGGAGCATTGTCATGATGGAGGATGATTTATGGCAAACTTTTAAATGTTCCTTCTCTCAACTGTAGCTCACACCCGACGGACTGCACTGAACAAGTTGAAACTTGTCACACACTGTTACCAAGGTTCAACGCACTGCTTCCTTTATTGAAGATCCCTGCCTTTCCGTTGGATGGCACTTGGCAGCAGCATTCACTGTATGTTTTAATCACACCCTACTTAATGGTGGACCATTAGATATGGCCCCACAGAAAGAAGTCAGACAAGGCTTCACAGCATCAGTACTTCTGACTAACACTGTCCCATTGCTCATGACCAAAGAAATAAGAAAAGAAAAAGAAATCAAAGGATGAAGACGGGCATGGATGACATCCGACTGGCATTATTTGCAGGGGACGTGCTGTCCACAGAGAAAATCCAAGAGACCCTCCAATCTACCCAGCAAGGTGGCTGGACAGCAGATCAACATACACACTCAACAACCACCACAAAGGTCATTTCCAAAGAGATGCCCCAAGACACATACCTAGGAATCAATCTAATGTAAAAAAATACCAGACCTTTACAGAAAAACACCTATCACTTTATTGAATGACATAAAAGAAAACCTATTGAAATAAGATCTCCATATACTAGGGCCGGTTGAATGGTGCGTTGGTTAAGAGTTGGCTTGGGACGCCAGCTCTGAGCAGCAGGGTCCTGGTTCTGATCCCACATGAGGGCCAGTGATGCTGTGCCCTCTACAGCTAAGATGGTGAGCAACAGCTCAACCTGGAGCTGGGCTGCAGTGAGTCACCAGCGACGGTGTAGGCTGCAGTGGGGATGGCCAGCAGCAGGAGTGCGCTTTCGTGAGCTACCGTGAGCCGCCATCCAATGGCCAGCGAGTGACTGACACACCCGGGAAGAGCGCAATGATAATACCAACATGGGCCAGTGAAGCAACATCCTCCACAACTAGACTGAAGAACAAAAAAGGAACAGCAACTTTGTCTGTTTCCCTTCCCCGATTCCCCAATGCTGTTCCCCTCCACCAATTCCCCAATTTAAAAAAAAAATCTTTTAAAAAAAAAAAGATGTCCATATACTATAAGCATGTTTTTATTTGGGGTACTGTTTTCTGAGTAAATTCCTCTCCTTCTGCGTAAATTGATGGGATGGCTGAGTCAAGGTCAGTGCAGATCCACTGGGGTCCATGTTGTCCTCCCCTTTAGGGGCTGGAGCACTTTCTCTGCAGCACAATCTCGCCAAAAGAAACTGCTGTCACACTTAGATTTTTGTATCGCGGCATAATTTTCACTCACATTTCTCTTACGTGAAGGGTTGAATATCTTTGCATACACTTAAAAGACCACTTGCATTTATTTCTCTGTAACTAGCTATTCGCATCTTTTACCCATTTCCTAATGGGTTTCGGTCTTTTCCTTTTATTCTTTATTCACTCTTTATGGTTTAGGGAAATGAGTTTGGTGTGTGATTTAAGTTGCAATTATTTTTCCCTGGTTGATTGTTTGTTTTTTCACTTTGCTTATGGAGTTCTCCACCTTAGATGAAGGCTTTCTCCCCCCCGCAATACAACAGAACTTATCAATCTTTTCTTACTTTGCTTTTGGATTTTGAATAATTTCCCCCAGCTACAGCTTATAAAAGAATTTATCTGTGTTTTCTTCCAGTACTTAGAGTAACTATCTATCTATCTAGAGCAGCGGTTCTCAACCTGTGGGTCGCGACCCCTTTGGGGGTTGAACGACCCTTTCACAGGGGTTGCCTAAGACCATCGGAAAGCAAAAAGATATTTACATTACGATTCATAACAGTAGCAAAATTACAGTTATAGAGTAGCAATGAAAATAATTTTATGG